GTGCTGACTCCAGGTGTGCTGACTCTGAGTGTGCCGAGAAGCGCTGGTTCACTGGGGTTGTCAAGGTTGAGACCTTTCAGAAGCAGATTGTCAGCCTGCTTTCCAAGGTACCCAGGCTAGGATTGAACTGCCACCGTTTTATGCCGCATAGGTCAGGTTCCTCCATGAATATGTATATATGTGTGTGCATGCACCCATACATACCCATCTGACAGTAATTGTTATCTCATGGGGGCGCAGGGCTTGTGGAATCTTAATGGTTGCTGTGAACTTCTGTAAGGATTTCAGTGAGGTAAGGCTTGCCAAGAGCCTGGCGTAGATCCTGTCATCGTGGTAGCACCTCTTCTTTAGTATGAGAGAAACCATGATGGTAAGGACATTGGTCTGTCCTCTTTACATCTCCCCAAACACTCACACTTATGTATGGTCACCCTGGTCTGTCTGTGGTAGACAGATAATGCCGGCCTCCAAAGATGTTCTTGAAATTGGAGAATCTTTTCCAAACTGTGATCAGAGAAAGACATGACTAAAGAAGAGTCAGAGATGCATCATTGCTGGCTTGGAAGACAGACGAAGGGGCCCTGAGCCAGGGAATGTGGGGAGCCACTACCAGCAGGATACGTTAACTAACTCACTGCCATCGAGTCATTCTGACTCCTAGGGACTCTGTAGGTCACGGTAGAATTGCCGGGTTTCTGAGACTGCTGGTGGTTTCAAGGTCGGCTGCTGATCTTGAGGTTAGCAGCCCAATGTGTAAGCACTATACCACCAGGGAGAGAGAGTCTCCTCTAAAGCCACTAGATACTTCCTGCTAACACCTTGATCTTAGTTCTGGGAGGTCTAGGTGAAACTTCTCACCTACAAAACTGTAAGGAAACACATTAAAAAAAAATCATTTAATTTGCTTCCAGCACTTTGCCTGAAGAATTTCAATAATCTAAAGCTGTCACTGAATTTTTTATTGTTTAAAGTCAGTGAAGTCTGTGGGAATTTTGTCATGACAGTCATGATAAAAATGAATACAGAATTTGTAATTAAGAAAATGGACATAGAATTTGGTACCAGGAAGTGCGGTGCTGTTGTAACAAATACCTAAAAATGTGGAAATGGCTTTGGGACTGGCAAATGGCAGCAGCTGAAAGAATTTTGGGTAGCATCATAGGTAAGAGAACGGCTAAGTTATTTTGAAGAGAATGTGGATATTAAAAGTCCTGCTGTCGAGGAGCCCTGGTGACCTAGTAATTACACATTGGACTGTGATCCACAAGGTCGGCAGTTCAAAACCACCAGCCTCTTCTTACTGGAAAAGAGGACTTGAAGCACTTTATTGATGAAGCTCAACGATTGTAGCCTTCAGTGTGAATTACAACTTGGTGTAAAGAAGACCCAAATCCTCACAACTGGACTAATAAGTAACATCATGATAAAGGTGGTAAAGTTGAAGCTGTGAAGGATTTTGCCTTGTTTGGTTCTGCAATCAATGCTCATGGAAGCAACAGTCAAGAGATCAATGGATGCATTCCATTGGGAAAATCTGCCGCACAAGATTTCTTTAGAGTGTTGAAAAGCAGGGGGGTTACTTTGAGGACTAAGGTGGTCCTGACCCAAGTCATA